TAATTGCCACAATTATTGAAGACGGAACTTCTGTCTTCAACTTGAGTGGATCTCTACCCCTTGGCCCTTGAAGCAAGACAACTGACCAGTGCCATAAACCATCTTTATTGCTGGTCATAGCTACATACTGTCAACCCGGCGCAAACAGTCCTGCTTGACTTGTAGCACTGCCAGCATCACATTGCCGCCTTGCTCAAATTGGCTGACCTGGGCAAATGAAGACAAGCAGGCAGAAACATAGAAAGGAAAATACAATGTGGTGCTACAAGCCTTCGCTAGTCTCCTTAGTTGACAGTCAAATTGCAGCATCCTGCTGTCTTCCGCGGAATACTACTGCAACTCAATTCTAAGCGAACCTGCTGGCAGTTCCTTGAGAAATCTCTGCAGGACACACGATGAAATATGATGACCTGTGTAGCAGCAATACCGAGTTTACCTATGCTTCACTGCAACAAGCTAAAGTCAAGGATAGCCATGATACCTGCAAACATTCAGAAACATGCAAAGACATATATGTAAATAAAGACACAGAGCAACTTCCAGAATACAGAAACATGTAGAAACATAGAAACATACACTCTGGCACAGGTCAGTTCGCAATACACTCTGGGGCCCCTGCGACCGAAACAGGCACTGACACCTGGGCCAGTTCAAGTTTTTCAGCGCCTTGTCTCCTTGGCCCTCCAAGTTTCTCAAAAACTGTATATGTGTGTTGATTCTGGAGCATTATATATTTGTATCTCTCTCTCTTTCTCTCTCTCTCTCTCTCTCTCTCTCTCTTGCTTGCCAACATTGATTTACTTTGGTTTACTTATGTAATATGCGGTTGTCCCTTTCCGAGCTCATGAGTCAAGAGCCACTGAGCATGAGAGCAAGAGATGATATGCACTCAAAATAATTCAAACCATTATATATATAGATCGATTGTTGTCCAAGCTCTGCGACATCCCATAGGCATAGACAGGACCTCTCTTGGCTTCCCTACTGTGATGGTCCCGTCCGAGGTCTGGTCGCCACTATCGCCGAATTGGAACACCTGAGCTGAGGGGCCGACTTGCAGAGACAGTCCTACTTGAAACACAGCGGTGTAAATCAAGGACTTTAAAGACACATAGTATGCACACTAGATGTATGTAGTATTCTACCAGTAGTACCGCACATGGCGGTGGCGGAAGTTTCAAAGATAGGACGCTGTAGGAGAGGTGAGTTGTTGTGATGCATGGATGGCAGAGCGAATCCACTGATGGACGGAAAGGTGGTTGGAGTTATGCTTTTTGGAGTCCTTGCAATGGTGGCGGTGGTCACCTCCCCCACAACTGCTGGATGTAGCGTGCTGTAGCGCAGCTGTAGTTGTAGCTGTAGTTGTGGCGTAGTGGAGTTGTAGTTGTAGTTGTACTTGTACTTGTACTTGTAGTTGTAGTTGTAGTGTAGTTGCAGTTATAGCTGTGGTGTGGTGTAATGAGCGTAGTGAAATGAAACGTAGTGTGGTGTAGTGTGCTGTAGTGTTGTGTGCTGTAGTGTAGTCTAGTGTAATGTAGTGCAAAGTAGTGTAGTTGCAGTTGTAGCTGTAGTTGCAGTTAGTGTAGTTTAGCGTAGTGTAGTCTAGTGAAATTAGTGTAGTGTAGCGCAATGTAGTGTTGCTGTAATTTTAGTTGTAGGTCTAGTACTAGTTGTAGTTGTAGTTGTAGTCTAGCGTAGTGTAGCGTCATGTATTTCGTGCAGTGTAGTGCAATGTAGTGAAGCTGCAGTTGTAGTTGTAGCTGTAGTAGTAAGAGTAGTAATACTAGCAAAAACAGTTGTAGTTATAGTTGTAGTGTCATTAGTGTAGTGTACTGTCAATAGTGTAGCGTACTGTAAATAATGTAGTGTAATGTAATTAGTGTAGTGTAGTGTAATTGGTGTGGTGTAGTGTAATTAGTGTACTGTAGCGTAGTATATTTGCATTTGTATTTGTGTGGTCGCGGTAGTGTAGTGCAGCCGCAGTTGCCACTGTCTATCTGTCTATCTATCTATCTATCTGTCTATCTGCAAGCTCGAAAACAAAGCTAGTCTGCGAGACCTCCTCAGTTTTTGAACTTGACAACATCAAAAACGCAGCATCTCAGTGAGACTTCCTCAATTTTTGAACTTGACAACGTCAAAAACAAATTCTGCGAGACTTCCTCAATTTTCGAGGTTGACAACATTAAAAAAGAAGCAATTCTGCGAGACTCCTGCACTTTTTGAACTTGACATCTTCAAAAAGGAAGGAATTGTGCGAGATATCCTCATTTTTTCAAGTTGACAACATCAAAAGCAAAGCAATTCTTCGAGACTTCCTCCAAAAATGCAGAGCTGACAGCCGCGTATCAATGGGTTTTGCGATTTTTTCACTCCATCTGTCTAAAAGCGCTGCGCCTGCCATGAAAAAGTGAAGCCGGGTCATACGAAGTGTTGCACCTGTCTCGCAAGATCATCTTAGCAAACCTGAAGATTTGATGCTCGAAAATGCAACCCTTCTCAGGAAATCAACGTCCTGACCTCCTAACATCTCTGGTGAACATGTCTCTTGCACCGCGCCTGCCATGCGAAATAAATCTTTGCAGATCCTCTTCAAATGTCCCACGCCTGCCAATGCGTTTGAAACTGCTACAAAACCCTCGCTTCTTGCTCACTTTTGACAAGGTGCACAATCCCTTGCGCCTGCCACGCAAAACAACATCTGAACGTCCACAAGTGGTCCATACTCGTCAATTTTTTTATACTTTTGAATTGGACATGTGCTTCGCGCCAAAACGGCGTGCACTTTTTCAACATCTCAACGTCCAAAAGTGCTCCGAACCCATCATTTATTTTTTACACTTTTACCTTCAAAATGTGCTTCGCGCCAAAACGGCGTGCACTTTTTCAACATCTCAACGTCCAAAAGTGCTCCGAACCCATCAATTTTTTGCACTTTTAACTCCGAAATTTGCTTCGCACCAAACGGCGGGCACTTTTGCGACATCTCAACTTCCAAAAGCGGTCCGAACATGATGTGTTTTGTACATTTTGACTTCGAGATGTGCTTCGCGCCACAACGGCGTGCACTTTTTCATCTCTCACCTGGCCAGATGGCTCTGCACCCGCCGCTTTAGCGTGCCTACTTTTCGACCCTCCGGAGCCTCAAATCATGAGAAAAACACTGTGGATGGCGACTTTTCCACCTTTTCCCGTACCTGCATCTTCTTTCTTCTCACTCTTTCTCATCTCAGATCTTATCTCTTCTTCTCTTCTCTTCTCTGACTCTTTCCACCTCTGCTTTTCCATCTGTCCAGATTGTCGGAAGTTTGACTTCTAAACTTCCTTCGATAATTATCTAAGAGATTGATAGATGTAGGTATGCCACAATGATGCTGTTTGATACACACAAACATTGTCCAACAGTTCTTTTACATCCAGACTTATTCAGGGGCACATCAAGAAAGTTCCCTTGACAAGCCATATATGTTATATATATAACTGTAAATGTTTTTGTATGCGCAATATATATATATACACATATATTAACTCGCAACTGTGCAAGTCATGAAGTCGTTCATCTGGCAGCACAATTCCCATGGACCAATTTTGCACTTTCAACAAGTTGGGCAGCTGGCCGATGCTGCGATGCTCAGGTCAAGACATGCCGAGACATGTCAAGACATATCGTGTGCACTGCGGCAGTACAGCCGCAGAGGCAATACGTCGACACTGGAAACAAATCCAAGGCACCAGTGACGATGATGGATCCACAGATGAGGAGCTCAGTTTTACCACAGAGACCTCTGGAGCCACGGAGCCAAAGACATCGTCAATTTGGTAGCTGACATGAAATGTCCTTACCAGATACAAGCCAACGTCTGTCCAAAGTAGGGCCAATGTCAATCAATATCTGCAGTGCATCATCTAAATATATCCAAGTATATTCTGCGCGGACGACAAAGACCTGAAATACCAGGCCGTGACTTAGGACTTAGGCCATCCTGGTGACATAGGAGTTAGTGCAACAAGTTCTAAGTCACTGGTGTTCTTACCAGGTGATTTGTGTGCACCAAGTCCTAAGTCACTGGGGTTGTGATTGGACTCAAGCACTTTTTCGGTAAAAAAAATCTTCTCGGCACAAGTCCTAAGTCATCAGAACCTACATACTTACATTGCATTACAGTAAAGTACAGTAGATTACACTACAGTACATTACATTACAGTAAAGAACAGTACATTACACTACAGTACATTACAGTACAGTACATTACAGCACATTACAGTACATTACATTACATACATGCACAGGACTTGGTGCACAAAATCGTCTGTCACTAGAGGGGCACAAGTCCTAAGTCATCAGAACCTACATACTTACAGTACATTACAGTACAGTACAGTACATTACACTACAGTACATTACATTACCTTACAGTAAAGTACAGTACACTACATTACACTACAGTACATTACATTACCTTACAGTAAAGTACAGTACATTACATTACACTACAGTACATTACATTACAATACATTACAGTACATACATGCAAAGGACTTGGTGCACAAAATCGTATGTCACCAGAGGGGCACAAGTCCTAAGTCATCAGAACCTACATACTTACATTACATTACAGTACAGTACATTACATCACACTACAGTACATTACATTACATTACATTAAAGTGCAGTACATTACATTACACTACAGTACATTACATTACAGTACAGTACATTACATTACGTACATGCAAAGGACTTGGAGCACAAAATCGTATGTCACCAAAGGGGCACAAGTCCTAAGTCATCAGAGCCTACATACTTACAGTACATTACAGTACAGTACAGTACATTACATCACAATACATAATACTTTAACCAAAAATATATAAACAGAAAGAATAAATATCAAAAATATTCCAAAAAATATTTAAAAAATGAAAAAATGAAAAAAAAATATATATCCATAATTTTTATTTACGCAATTGTTTTAAAATAATGTCTGTATGTCAACCGAAGGAAAAAATGAAAATCACAGATTCTTTTGAAATATTTTTTTGAAGATGGGCACAAGTCCTAAGTCATGTTTTTTTTCATTCGATTTATATACATACATTGGTTTAAAGGGATTAAATAGATTTAAAATTTATAGATATGACTTTTCTCAATTGTTAATTTTTTGTTTTTCCGTTTGTTTCCCGTTTTGTTTCCCCGTTGTGTCTCCCCCCGGTGTGACAGGACCTGCGAGTCTCACGGATGAACCTGCCGGGTCGAAGTCCTCGAGCCAGCCGTTGTTGGCTCGAGGACTTCGCCCCAACGACGGGGTAGTGCAACGGGGTAATACAACGGGGACCACACTGGGGAAGCACAACGGGGGAAACAAAACGGGAAACAAAACGGGAAACAACAGAGAAAAGTTAAAAAATCAAAAAATATATCCACAATTTTTATTTATAAAATTGCTTTAAAATAATGTCTGTATGTAAATCGAAGGAAAAAAATGAAAATCACAGAGCGTGATGACTTAGGATCATCTTAATGTACTTCTGCTAGTTAATTCCTATGTCATCATGGTTTTACGAGTGGTCCATGCCGCACTAAAAAAATCAAACACAGTTTCTAATCTCATACGGACACCTGATGAGTTGGGACTTGTGCAGGGGGGGTCCGAAGCATGATGAGATAGGGCTTGTCCACCCCAGGGTATCTTTTACTAGTCCTAAGTCACGGGGGGGAAATATAGGTGCGTCCAGCTTCTGCGTGAGGCAAAAATTAATCTGATCAATTTGATCAAACATGATAAGACTACCAGCTTTTACTCGCTGATTTTGCAAAAGGTTGTGAATGTTGCATGAAACTCCATACGTTTCGTATGAAACTGAGACAGAGTCAAAGAATCAAAGACACTTCTAGTCATGAAACCCACCTTAGCTCTCCTAAAACCCAGTATGTCTTGTGGGCCTGGATTCAACCTTGACATCATTGAACGCATTGAACTGGTTGATCAACGCTTTATGTATTGAGGGGGGGCCTGGCAGAGCTTCACCTGTGGGTCCTGAGGAGGCAACATTTCCAGCCTCTGTCTCCAGCACGACCGACTCCTGCAAAATGACTTGGTCACTGCAATTGGCACCCTTGTGTGGGAGTTTCGCATCCCGTTTTGTCAATGTACCTTGATGCATCCTGCGTATATGTTTGACTGGGTCACACTGCCTTTCACCTTCACAGGAATTGCAACATCCGAACAAATAAACATCACAGAAGTCATTATCATGCGCAGAATTCTGTACTTGAACTCTATGTGGACACATGAAAGTAAAATTGATCTTAGGTGGGCTTGAGCATCCATTGGCAAAGACTGGCGGGATTTGTGCATTTACAACAAGAACAAGGGGGTTGGGGGTTCTTCTGGTATACCTTGATTTCTGTCAAGCAAAAAACTGAACATGTCAAATGACAAGCAGGATTATGTCACTGTAGAACTGATGGAAATAGGACAGCACACACTGCTTCGGATTTATTTCTTGACTGCAACATCAAGAGCAAACAGGCATGAGGAATGTACATTTCAGAAGGCCTGATAAATCGACCTGATCGTGAAACCTGTCTTGCTACTCTTCCTCTCCTGATCAGAATTCAGTGCCACCAAAGCACCCTGAAGAGTAGCCTGGACATAGAAGGACATGGCAAACACTTTCTTGGTTTATCATCCATCAGACAGGGTCAAGGTGGCCCGTCTTGTCAAAGCGGTCTTACGTTTCACCCCAAACCTATCCACAGAGGGGCAAATCAATGGAAAATGAACAAGTGCAACCAAGATGCGAGAACCAAAGAACCTTCTGTTTCATTCGTGTCTACATTGCTTGGCAGCACGATGCTTTGCAACCTGACAAAATCATTTCGAGACTGATTACATCTAATTGCCAATCCTGTGAAAAATCTTTCTCGACAGAACTCCCTAAAAATGAAGCAACCGTATGAACATGGATTCGCTCATTGCTTCAAGCTCAAGACCCCCAAACTGGGCACACCAGGACATATGCATTCTTGCCAACCGGCTGTTGACATTCCTACTCGGATGTCTTAGCAACCCTAGGTCAAAGCACTAGTTGTATGCAAGTCAAGTCCCCATGTTTCGGATATCTACCAGATTCTGCCACTCTCTCTCTATCTCTATCTCTCTCCCCCTCTCTCAATCTAGTTATCTGATCTATTCTGATCGAATCTAATCTAATCTGACCTGATCTAATCTCATCTCATCTACATCTAGTCTAATCCAGTCTGAGGTGACCTAATCAAAACTCATCTATTCCATCATGCGTCCATGGATTCATGATCCATCTATCAACCTACCTATCTACCTACCTACCTACCTGGCTAGGTAGCTATCCCTCTATCTGTCTGTCTATCTATCTGCACACAAGCCATGTCAGTTGCAGTCTTTATATAGGTTTTTTGGCGTCTCAAAACCCTGTCTGTGATTGAGAACATCCAAACGAGGATGTAAATAAAACTGAACCATGTGGCAGCGTGCTACTTGTGGTGGTAAGGCTTGCCGTCGAGGTAATTGAACTGCTGATTGTGGTGGTGCTACCTTGCTTTGGCGGCAGGTGTTGTTTGTCACGGACGATCAGAGCTCAAATATTGAAAACGTATAAAAATGTCATTTCAGTTCGTGGCAACAGTAAAGGAAGTCATCCCGAAACAGGTGACGATTTTCATTTCTTCACACTGGTTGCGGTCCCCCTGTGTGGTTTTCACAAGCCCGCCGGCATCTAGAAAAAGGCTCGTACCAAGACTACATAATTGCCTGATCTCCTTTACACATCGGTGCTTGAAAACCAGAGCCAAGCCGCTGCTGGAGGTCCTTGACGTTGTAGTAACCTCAATGCATGGAGAAACAGTAGGGATAGAATATAATATATTATATTACAGTCATCATTAGAGTCATTATAGCAATCTCTAAGCATGTCCAACACCTTCAGTGGATTCCCGGATCACAGCCCACAAATCAGCCTAGTTTCGGAATCATAGACATCATAGACTGGTGAGACGGTTTATTTTTCTGGAAGTCAACCTGCAAGATGTAGGAAAATCGGAGGTGGGAAGCAAGAAAAACTGGCATTTGAACAACATTTCTGCTGACAGAGCTTAGCAACCACGGAACCCTTGACAACTCGAAAGCAGATGTGCCTCAAACAAGTCTACCTAAATGATGTGCCCATGATGTTGTGGACATTTTGGGGGGACACACGTGCAACACCCGAATCCCATCCACCAAGCCAGTATATAGATAGGAGGAAATACAGTACCACACAAGCAACATTGAGACATATAAAACTGCCACTAACATACGACTTGTGCAGCTTGAGCGCAGCAGTCCTGAGGGATTTTTTTCCTCATGCGTCGCATCCTTTGGAAGTCTGAAGGTCTATGTACATGCCACATCTGTGCTTGCAAGGCACCCAAGGCCTTTTCGTCCGAACTTCGTCAGGGCGCTTTCACTGCATCGCTGCCGAGGCGATGCTTTCCGTGCACCCCGACACCGCGCCTTCTCTTGATGCGTCAGCTCGGCTGGGTGCAGCTTCATCAGCCCTTCACCAGCTGCAGGAGGTCCGGCATCCTGTCGGTCGGGTATGTCTCGCAGCTGCTTCTGCTGGAACTGGAACTGCTGAAGCCCAGTTGCTTGCCTGCCGTGGTGCAGCTTTCGCTCGTAGTCCGAAGCGTAGTCCTGACCTTTCAGGATCAGGAGCATGTGCATCTGGGTGAGGCGGCAACCCTCCGGAAACTCCTGTCAGCAGCTTCGGACACGTGAAACCTGCGCTTGAAAGACAGTCCCACACTAAGTGATGCCCACCTTCACCACAGTCTTCGAGCCAAGCGTCAGGGAGAAGCAGCCGACGAGATAGGAGTCTCTCGGCGCACCTCCAATCAAACTCCATGGCCGGTCCATGGCCACATGGTGTGTAGAAAGAGGATCAACACACAGAACAGGGTGAAGAAGACTGGCTTCTCGTAGCTGACCTTGATGGCCCGCTGCAGTTGCGGCACCATGTGATTGGAAACGCTCACATGGGTCATCTTCTGATCATCAATGATCCAGGCTGGAAAGTTGATGTCTGCCAGGAAAATGGTCGGGATTCAGTGAATCAACCCCTGTAAAATATGATGAAAAGCTACCAAGCTGCATGCTGAGGCCTGGATGGGCTAAGCCAAGAACCCCATGTGACTTAGTCACGCGGCTTAAGGCCTTTCTTGGAATGTCATTTCCAGATGTCAAAGAATTGACATGAAAGACAAACAAACTTGGTGGACCAATCAGGACTCCATACGACATACGGTCTTTCAAGTGTGTGAAAGAGTGGTGTGTGACAAGTTGGGGTGACAATGTTGTGTTGTGTGTGAAAGAATTGTGCTTGACAAAGATGTGCGTGGAAGGGTTTTGGGTCAAAGTGCTGTGTGCGAAAGAGTTGCGTGTGCGTGTGTGTGTGTGTGACAACGTAGGTGTGACAGAGTTGTGTGTGATAGAGTTGTATGTAAAAGTGTTGTATGTAAAAGTGTTGTGTGTAAAAGAGTGGTGTAAGAAAATGGTGTGTGTGTGTGTGAACGTGTTGTGTGTGTGTGAAAGAGTTGTGTGCGACAAACTTGTGGCTGACAATGTTGTGTGTGTGTGTGTGTGAAAGGGTGGCGTTGTGTGAAAGAGTGGTGTGTGTGTGTGTGACAAAGTTTTGGGTGACAATGTTGTGTTGTGTGCGTGTGTGTGTGACAGAGCTGTGTGTGAAAGAGTTGTGTGTGTGTGTGAAACTGTTGTGTGTGTGTGAAAGAGTTGCGTGTGACAATGTTGTATGTGAAAGAGCTGTATCCGACAATGTTGTGTGTGTGTGCAAGAGTTGTGTGTGTGATAGAGGTGTGTGTGACAATGTTGTGTGTGTGTGCGATAGTGTTGTGTGTGAAAAAGTGTTGTGCCTGACAAAGTTGTGCGTGTGTGTGACAGAGCTGTGCGTGTGTGTGTGTGTGAAAGAGTTGTGTGTGACAAAGTTGTGTGTGTGTGTGACAATATTGTATGTAAAAGAGTTGTGAGTGACAATGTTGTGTGTGAAAGAGTTGTGTGTGACAGAGCGGCCGGGACGGACGGCGGACGTCGGACGTCGGACGTCGGACGGGAGTGCACAACAAAAAAAAACAAGAACCCAACACAAAGATGTGGGGAAAAACATCTAATGCTCAGTGAAATGTAAAATAAGTTGAGTTTCCGGACGGAGCTGCTGGTCGACGTAGTGTGTGTCACCTGGCGAGCAAAGGCAGCTGTTATGGCTACTCATCATCTTCCAGTTCCCCTGAAGAATATTGAAAGGAGGAGAACAGCACAAGTGAGAAAACCCAAGGACCAAAGAAGTAGCAAGGATGCAAAGTTGGAGCTTGATTGCTGATCCAAACAAATGCAGGAAGTTTGTTGTTGAAGGACATTCCACTTCTATCCTTAAGTATGAAGGTCTTGTGGTTGGACGTCTTCACCTCCTTTGCTATGTATGATGTATGATGACGGTAGGGATGGGGATGATAATGGCAATGGCGGTCATGGCGATGGTGTTGATTCACAAGTGTGTGCAACTGACAATGGCGAAGGTACAGAAATTACTCATTTCTCAAAACAAAGAACAATCATGCGCGATTGATGAGGAAGGAACCGAACATCTCTTGAGTGCGGCGATTTGGGGGCTATGAAGCTGCTGGAACTGAACGCCCGCCAAACAATCATTCGCAGCCTGTTTCCTTATATTGTGAGATGACAGCCGAGTATACTAGTATGTGAACCAGCAGCTTGCAATAGGAACACAAAGGTTTCAGAAACCACTTTCCAGAGAATTGACGCACTTATTTCCGAAGGCGCTTGCTACATACCCGGGCAAAGCCCTGCGATTGTTTCGAATGGTCCGAATGGTTGATATCAGATGATAATGAGGCTGCTGGTGATTATGGTGACAACACTGATGATAACGATGATCCTACTTCCTATGACATGGATTGATTGTTATGATGATCAATGATGAGGACAGCAACGACGAAAAATAACTGTCAGGATAACAATAACAACAACTGATAACAATCACGATAACAATGATACATTATGACGACGAGGACGAAGACGAGGATAAAGACAAGGACAATGACGATGACGGCGATGATGAGGGGGATGATGAGGAGAAGCAGGAGTAGGATTCGATGATAATGATGATGGTTGCTTGGTTGCGTGGTGTTTTGATATTTCTACACTTGGGTGTTTGGTTTTTCCAGCTGTTGCTGCTGCTGCCGTTGCTTGGCCTCCCCTTTCGCAGCCCCCATAGGCATGAGCGTTTTGCGCTTAATGTTTGCCGCACGTTGTGACACTTGTGCCAGCGCAGGAGGCGGGTGGGGAGGATGGCAATTACTTTCCTTAGTCTTGGTGTTGGAGCACCTTGCCTCCATTCTCAAGTTGCTGTTGCGCTGTCGCAGGGGTTGATTGTTGGCGCCTTTTCCATACATTGCAGTGTTGCTTCGCTGAAGAGTCAAACACATTTACAATAACCGCAGGCTTTCGGTTGTTGTTGCTGTTGTTGTGGTGGTGGTGGCGGTGGTGGTAGTGGTGGTGGTTGTTGTGTGTGTGTGTGTTGTGGTTGTCGTTGTTGTTGTCGTTGTTGCCTGAATGTTTGGCCACACCATGAGGTTTCCCACAATTAATCCAAATTTAATTGGCGAACTCCATTCTCAAGCGTGCGCACCCTTGGATCACATCCCAACAATATCAAACTTTGAGTTATTCCCTCGTGGCAGGCATGGGGTTGCTTGGATTGCAGAAATCATCGTTGATTCAGTTTGAAACGGATTTTCTTGTTTGCACACTGGTCCGAAGATGATTAGAAACACTGTTACGGCCTTCCTTCACTCAAAGCAATTAAAAAATGGATTTTATTGTCCCTAGAAGGCGTGCCGTGTCGGAAGGAAATGAAGGAAACTCACGCAGAAATGCCGAAGCAGCGTTGAAAACCTGTTTTCAAACCCGTCAGGAATATGAATTGAAGGTTGCAGATGACCGTGCATGGTTTCTGCATCGGACCTTCTACAGTCCTACATGTCCAACTGACGCTGGTTATAATTTTCAGTGCATAACTTCAAGCCATCCTCGTAGTTTCAACCCAGAACTGATCAAAGGAAGCCTGGCTGGAGGCTTCCAAAGAACGGGGGGTTGAACAGTGTACAACTGAACAGCCGCGAACAAAACACAACAGTGGCAAGCACAGCACAGAAAGGGGAGAACAGTGTCAAGCACAGTAGAGAGCAATAGAGAACACCGGCAAGCGGCAAGCCCGGTAGAGAACAGTAGACAACAGAGCAGCTGGAGGAAGGGTGACATACCTTCTATTTCCGCCCTCGCTACGATACTGAGCCGCAGACACTCAAAGACCAGCAAAAGTGCAGCCGTGACAGCCCCCCGAGGGGCAGCAACCATAAAAGCATTTAAAAGACTTTTAACTAATTCAAACCAGACTTAATTGACTGGATGGACAGCAGAACAATCCTCCGGCATAGAACAAAAACAATCTGAGCATGATTTTTCTAAATCTGAAAAGTCCCCTCTCACATCGTACTTTGGTTCTACACTGCCCTCAACGAGGGTGTTGCTGGTTGCTGCTGCTACTAGTACGTTGTTGCTACGAAGCCTCCATCAAGCATTTGGCAGACCTCAAGAAAAGGTCTGTGTTGGGGAAAACCCACAAAGAATAGCAAAGAAAAAATGAACCATGGCCCAATGCTTGGATGCATAACACAAACAGGGAGGAGGCAACTTTTTGGGAGGCAATCAGCATGTGGAAGCAGTCTAGAACTCACATTTTGATTAAAATGATGATGCTCTCATTGCGGGAGCCGAAAGGACAGGACCGCTTTTTTGTTCTTATGACAAGAGTCTTTCTCCTGACTTCAGAGTGCCCCTCAGTGTGTGAATTCCTGGTGTCAGGAATGGCTTCGCAGCATGTCTGGGCCAGCCCCAAGCCGGGGGAGCGGTTTGCAAAATATTCCATAAGTGTTTTGTCTTATTCCCAGTGCTGTTCTGTACGCTACTGTGAGATGATTCAAGACAAAGCACGTTCCCCCTAGAATCGAAAGAAAGGCCACTCAATTTCACATCTAAGAAGCGTCACCCCATTTGTTTGAAGCCTTGCAAGCCTGCCATCCCTTGTACGTAGCTGCTCAGACTTTGCAACAACAAAAACATCCAATACACAGTGAAGTGCAAAAGAAATTTGGGTTTCCGAACGGAGCTGCTGGTCGACGTAGTGTGCGTCACCTGGCGAGCAAAGGCAGTTGTTATGGCTACTCATCATCTTCCAGTTGCCCTGAAGAATATTGAAAGGAGGAGAACAGCACAAGTGAGAAAACCCAAGGACCAAAGAAGTAGCAAGGTTGCAAAGTTGGAGTTTGATTGCTGATCCAAACAAATGCAGGAAGTTTGTTCTTGAAGGACAATCCACTTCTATTCTTAAGTACCAAGGTCTTGTGTTTGGACGTGTCCACCTACTTTCGTCCGTATGTATGATAACTTTTGGATGTAGATTGTGGTGATCGCAATGGTGTTGATTGTTTTGACGGCTGATAATGGTGATGTTTCTCATGCTGACGATTGTGATTATGTTGACAAATTGCACACTGCTGAGGGTAGAAAACAATAATGTTCATAATGATCCTGACAATGTCAAAAAGTGACAAACGTTGCTGCATGCCCAAATTTTGCAGCAACATAAACATCCAATACACAGTGAAGTGCAAAAGAAATTTGGGTTTCCGAACGGAGCTGCTGGTCGACGTAGTGTGCGTCACCTGTTCAGCAAATGCATGTGTAGTGGCTACTCATGCTACTCACCATCTTCCACTTCTCCTAAAATTCCTAAAGAACATCGAAGGCAAACCTCAGACCAATACAGAGAAGAGAGAGGAAAAGCACAAGCTACAAGACCAAAGAGCCAAAGCAGCAGAGGTTAAAGAAGGACAGATAGAGCCACCAACAAGGACATCAACACATAGACAAAACAGTGAACCCATGAACAATCCTCATTGACTCCATCAGGAAAAAACAAAGCACTGGAAAGACACGTCAGCCAGATCTGGGATCCTTACAGTGGTTGTCGTTGACGTGGTGATGCTTGTCGTGACCTTGGCCATTCAATTTTGCGACCCATTTCTGCTCATTCTGAGTGGTGCTCGATCCGATTAGAGCTCAATGAGGTCTTGCTGGTTCGACAAAAGCCATGCATATTAGGTTTGCTTGTATAGAAAGCCTTTCAAGTACGAGCTGTCCAAAAACAGCCAAGGCACGAAAGAACAAATATGAACAAACGAGTTTCTCTCATCCAGAAGTCTATTTTGGGATTTCAGGATGTGGTTATTCTGCTCAGCAAGTGCCTTCCAGCAGAAGACCGTGTTTGGTGGAAGCCATATGATGTCCACTTCATTCGCTTGGCTTCCACTGCTTCCTTTGATCCAACCGCTTGGACATCTTCCGAATCCCAAAACTCGAAGATGATGGAGGGTCGAGGGTCGGTGCAAGCAAACTATTTTGCATATGGCTGCTTGGCTTCTTAAGTGTAGCTGCTCAGACTTTGCAGCAACAAAAACATCCAGTACACAGTGAAGTGCAAAAGAAATTTGGGTTTCCAACGGAGCTGCTGGTCGACGTAGTGTGCGTCACCTGTTCAGCACATGCATTTGTAGTGGCTACTCATGCTACTCATCATCTTCCACTTCTCCTAAAATTCCTAAAGAACATCGAAGGCAAACCTCAGACCAATACAGAAAAGAGAGAGGAAAAGCACAAGCTACAAGACCAAAGAGCCAAAGCAGCAGAGGTTAAAGAAGGACAGATAGAGCCACCAACAAGGACATGAACACATAGACAAAACAGTGAACCCATGAACAATCCTCATTGACTCCATCAGGAAAAAACAAAGCACTGGAAAGACACGTCAGCCAGATCTGGGATCCTTACAGTGGTTGTCGTTGACGTGGTGATGCTTGTCGTGACCTTGGCCATTCAATTTTGCGACCCATTTCTGCTCATTCTGAGTGGTGCTCGATCCGATTAGAGCTCAATGAGGTCTTGCTGGTTCGACAAAAGCCATGCATATTAGGTTTGCTTGTATAGAAAGCCTTTCAAGTACGAGCTGTCCAAAAACAGCCAAGGCACGAAAGAACAAATATGAACAAACGAGTTTCTCTCATCCAGAAGTCTATTTTGGGATTTCAGGATGTGGTTATTCTGCTCAGCAACTGCCTTCCAGCAGAAGACCGTGTTTGGTGGAAGCCATATGATGTCCACTTCATTCGCTTGGCTTCCACTGCTTCCTTTGATCCAACCGCTTGGACATCTTCCGAATCCCAAAACTCGAAGATGATGGAGGGTCGAGGGTCGGTGCAAGCAAACTATTTTGCATATGGCTGCTTGGCTTCTTAAGTGTAGCTGCTCAGACTTTGCAGCAACAAAAACATCCAATACACAGTGAAGTGCAAAAGAAATTTGGGTTTCCAACGGAGCTGCTGGTCGACGTAGTGTGCGTCACCTGTTCAGCACATGCATTTGTAGTGGCTGCTCATGCTACTCATCATCTTCCACTTCTCCTAAAATTCCTAAAGAACATCGAAGACAAACCTCAGACCAATACAGAGAAGAGAGAGGAAAAGCACAAGCTACAAGACCAAAGAGCCAAAGCAGCAGAGGTTAAAGAAGGACAGATAGAGCCACCAACAAGGACATCAACACATAGACAAAACAGTGAACCCATGAACAATCCTCATTGACTCCATCAGGAAAAAACAAAGCACTGGAAAGACACGTCAGCCAGATTTGGGATCCTTACAGTGGTTGTCAGTGACGTGGTGATGCTTGCCGTGACCTTGGCCATTCAATTTTGCGACCCATTTCTGCTCATTCTGAGCGGTGCTCGATCCGATTAGAGCTCAATGAGGTCTTGCTGGTTCGACAAAAGCCATGCATATTAGGTTTGCTTGTATAGAAAGCCTTTCAAGTACGAGCTGTCCAAAAACAGCCAAGGCACGAAAGAACAAATATGAACAAACGAGTTTCTCTCATCCAGAAGTCTATTTTGGGATTTCAGGATGTGGTTATTCTGCTCAGCAACTGCCTTCCAGCAGAAGACCGTGTTTGGTGGAAGCCATATGATGTCCACTTCATTCGCTTGGCTTCCACTGCTTCCTTTGATCCAACTGCTTGGACATCTTCCGAATCCCAAAACTCGAAGATGATGGAGGGTCGAGGGTCGGTGCAAGCAAACTATTTTGCATATGGCTGCTTGGCTTCTTAAGTGTAGCTGCTCAGACTTTGCAGCAACAGAAACATCCAATACACAGTGAAGTGCAAAAGAAATTTGGGTTTCCAACGGAGCTGCTGGTCGACGTAGTGTGCGTCACCTGTTCAGCACATGCATTTGTAGTGGCTACTCATGCTACTCATCATCTTCCACTTCTCCTAAAATTCCTAAAGAACATCGAAGGCAAACCTCAGACCAATACAGAAAAGAGAGAGGAAAAGCACAAGCTACAAGACCAAAGAGCCAAAGCAGCAGAGGTTAAAGAAGGACAGATAGAGCCACCAACAAGGACATCAACACATAGACAAAACAGTGAACCCATGAACAATCCTCATTGACTCCATCAGGAAAAAACAAAGCACTGGAAAGACACGGCAGCTAGATTCATGACTCTGCCTGCTGTTGAACACAGGTGCAGAATGAAATAGAAAGCCAGACCGTCCCGGATGAAATTGTTTGAATGCTTCACTGAGTAAGGTCCTTGCCGTGAGGCTTGTTGTTCTTGAGGTTGATATCTGGCGTGAAAGCATGTGCATTCAAGAACCTCCCGTTTCATTCTAACTACCCAGGGCTTGTGTCTGCCCACCTCTATCTGGTAGATGCATTGTGTTATCATAATAATGATCTATGATCGATGGTGATGATCTATTGTGATCGTTGATTATCTTTATATAATGATCTTGGTCTATCTATGCAATCTATCGTGATTTATGCTGATCTATCAGGATCCATGATGATCCATGGCTATCTATGATGATCTATGTTGATGGCAACATTAAACGCAATGATGAAGGCAATAATAATGGCAATGATGATGGCAATGATGCTGACAATGACAAATTCAATGACAATTCAACATGATAAATTGCTGCTTGGCTTCTTAAGCGTAGCTGCTCAGACTTTGCAGCAACAAAAACATCCAATACACAGTGAAGTGCAAAAGAAATTTGGGTTTCCAACGGAGCTGCTGGTCGACGTAGTGTGCGTCACCTGTTCAGCACATGCATTTGTAGTGGCTGCTCATGCTACTCATCATCTTCCACTTCTCCTAAAATTCCTAAAGAACATCGAAGACAAACCTCAGACCAATACAGAGAAGAGAGAGGAAAAGCACAAGCTACAAGACCAAAGAGCCAAAGCAGCAGAGGTTAAAGAAGGACAGATAGAGCCACCAACAAGGACATCAACACATAGACAAAACAGTGAACCCATGAACAATCCTCATTGACTCCATCAGGAAAAAACAAAGCACTGGAAAGACACGTCAGCCAGATTTGGGATCCTTACAGTGGTTGTCAGTGACGTGGTGATGCTTGCCGTGACCTTGGCCATTCAATTTTGCGACCCATTTCTGCTCATTCTGAGCGGTGCTCGATCCGATTAGAGCTCAATGAGGTCTTGCTGGTTCGACAAAAGCCATGCATATTAGGTTTGCTTGTATAGAAAGCCTTTCAAGTACGAGCTGTCCAAAAACAGCCAAGGCACGAAAGAACAAATATGAACAAACGAGTTTCTCTCATCCAGAAGTCTATTTTGGGATTTCAGGATGTGGTTATTCTGCTCAGCAAGTGCCTTCCAGCAGAAGACCGTGTTTGGTGGAAGCCATATGATGTCCACTTCATTCGCTTGGCTTCCACTGCTTCCTTTGATCCAACCGCTTGGACATCTTCCGAATCCCAAAACTCGAAGATGATGGAGGGTCGAGGGTCGGTGCAAGCAAACTATTTTGCATATGGCTGCTTGGCTTCTTAAGTGTAGCTGCTCAGACTTTGCAGCAACAAAAACATCCAATACACAGTGAAGTGCAAAAGAAATTTGGGTTTCCAACGGAGCTGCTGGTCGACGTAGTGTGCGTCACCTGTTCAGCACATGCATTTGTAGTGGCTACTCATGCTACTCATCATCTTCCACTTCTCCTAAAATTCCTAAAGAACATCGAAGGCAAACCTCAGACCAATACAGAAAAGAGAGAGGAAAAGCACAAGCTACAAGACCAAAGAGCCAAAGCAGCAGAGGTTAAAGAAGGACAGATAGAGCCACCAACAAGGACATGAACACATAGACAAAACAGTGAACCCATGAACAATCCTCATTGACTCCATCAGGAAAAAACAAAGCACTGGAAAGACACGTCAGCCAGATCTGGGATCCTTACAGTGGTTGTCAGTGACGTGGTGATGCTTGTCGTGGTGATGCTTGCCTGCTGTTGAACACAGGTGCAGAATGAAATAGAAAGCCAGACCGTCCCGGATAAAATTGTTTGAATGCTTCACTGAGTAAGGTCCTTGCCGTGAGGCTTGTTGTTCTTGAGGTTGATATCTGGCATGAATGCATGCGCAGCAATTATATCATTCAAGGACTTTCCACCTCCTTTTGGACCTACGCAATGTACAGTATCTTCTTTTGTTCTAGCGATGATGATGATGATGATGATGATGGTGGTGGTGGTGGTGATGGTGATGATGATGATGATGATGATAATGATGATGATGATGATGATGGTGATGATCATGATCATGATCATGATAATCATGATCATGATGATCATGGTGATGATGATGATGATGATGATGATGATGATGATGATGATGATGATGATAATGATGATGATGATGATGACGATGACGATGATGGGGATAAAGATGATGATGATGATGATGATGATGATGATGATGATGATGATGATGATGACGATGACGATGACGATGACGATGATGGGGATAAAGATGATGATGATGATGATGATAATGATGATGACGATGACGATGATGGGGATAAAGATGATGATGATGATGATGATGATGATGATGATGATGACGATGACGATGACGATGATGGTGATAAAGATGATGACGATGACGATGATGGGGATAAAGATGATGATGATGATGATGATGATGATGATGATGATGATGATGATGATGATGATGATGATGATGATGTTGATGATGATGAGGAGGAGGAGGAGGATGACGATGATGATGACGATGACGATGATGATGATGATGATGATGATGATGATGATGATGATGATGATGTTGTCAATGGTGATGGATAGTGATGGTGAGGATGAGGATGAGGGTGAGGGTGTGGGTGAGGGTGAGGGTGATGGCAGCGGCAGCGGCCTCGGCGGCGGCGGCGGTGGTGGTGGTCATGACGATGATGACGATGACATGACGATGACAGGACGATGACAATGACGATGGCAATGACGATGATATGATGAGGACACGGTGATGACGACGAGGATTATCATTACTATCATAGCCACGCATCAGTAAGAGTCTGGCTGTGTGACTGGTGCTTGAGGTCAGGCTCGCTGTTGTCTCGGCTCAACCAAAATGCACAAGATGTACATCATGGGGGAACGTTCATATTTTTGCAACCTACACATCAGCACAAGCAGGTGTGAGACACAAACACACACACACATTGACTTCATTAAGTGAGGCCCCTGCTGTTCTAGTTGTGCTTGACGTCATGGTATCGGTTGTGCTTGTCGTCACCACTGATGTTGTTGCCTGGAGCTGAAAATAATGTCCAAAAAAAAAATGCGACTGCGACTGCGACTGCGACTGGATCACCGCAAAAATTAACAAATAACAATTAACAAATTCCCAGAGTAAAAAACGAGCGCAATCTAAGCATAGTTTTTGGTTGCAGTCACAAATAGTAAAGACAACCTAATGTAGATATTGAAACAGCGATATAATTAAAGTAAAAACAAAAATATTGCTAATATTGATAGCACTTGGCCACTGTCTCGGTCGCAGTAACCACTGTGCTAGTGGCTGTTATCGTAGAGGCTGTTCCGGTAGTGGTTGTAGCGGTAGTGGATGTAGTCACTGACGTTTCCGTTGTGGTGGTGGTGGTTAGAGTGGTATAAGTGCTGGATGTGGTTGTTACTCTGGAAGATGTGGAGGTTGTTACTGTAGCACTCGTGGTGGTCGTAGTGGGGAGCGGGCATTGATCACTGACGTCACCACTTCCAGTATAGCAACAGCATAGTCCTTGGCCACATCAGGTCATACCAATTTCAACAAGGTTTTCAGGATAAGGCACCATCGCATCATTTTTTTTGACGACTGGAAAAACCCAAATAGTGCAAGTCACCAACCGTGACGATGACTTAACTGAGACTACCAGCATACTGTCTACCAAGCCACGTACTAGCTGAGCGTCACCTCGGTTGAGGTGAACGAAATGCGTTTTTAAACAAACCTTCCACTTTCTCGTTACGGAACTACATCGCGAGGCAGTTCCTGAGAAAAACTATACATGGAGATTGCTACGGTGTGCAGGACGCAGCAAATAAGCCAAATCTTTGAATCTGCAACCACAAAGCACTTGTAATGCTGCAAAACGGATGCCGTAGGTAGTTCTGTCCGGTTCTGCCTTGATGGAGATAGTAAAAAGGTGTCAAACCAAGACTAAATGTGTACAGTTCCGTTGTATGTGTGCGCACATGTATATATATATATATATGTGTGTAGGTTTCTCCAAGCCTTTAGAACTACGGACAGCAATCGTATGTTACGGAGGCTAATCTCATGTTCATGACTGTCATCAGCAATGTCAGCAATCATATTGTACAGAGGGCAACCTCATTCTGATATCCCTGTCATGCCAACCAATGGCATATTTTTACTTTGCTTATTTAGCTGTAAATTTTGTTACATGAAAATTTATGTTGGACATTATTTCTCTCGCCCTTCTTACAAGTTTCAGATTTCGGAAATGTCCTGTTTCAGCCTGGCGAAAAAGGAAAATGACAGCAGCAGAGGACATGATGAGCTATTGATGATGCAGACATGTTGAGACAATTTTTCCTCACGAGAAACATATTTGAAACAGCACCAGGTCATTCATTCCACACGCTGCTCGGGGTCGAGCTGAGCGTTGCCCAGCTAAGACAGCTTGCGCCCATATCGAAAGAGAGAAAAATTTGAGCCCAAAGCATGTGAAAGCTTAAAAAAACACAGAGCCGGACGTTTGCCCGGAGCATGTGTTTTTCTCGCGCGAAACAGCCCTTCTTTTTTCACAAACCCCCATAAGTCTGCGAAGGGTTGCTGCTGCAAATTATTGTGAAACGAGCCGTGAAGAAAATTTCGTGTCGTACGCGTGGCGAGGGGCCACACCTAGTGTACCGTCCATCTCTGCAAGGCGGTTAGAACCACGGATAAAACATGCGGTAAAACCGCGGTGAAAATGAGATATATGATGTCATCTTGGGCGAACGTTAGGTTCTGCGGGTATTGATAGGTCCAAGGGGTCGGACCACACTATATATAAATATATATCATAAATATATATCATATATATATAATAATAACAATAATCATCATCATCACCATCATCATCATCATCATCATCATCATATTTGTACATATATATATATATCATATATATATATACATATATATATATATATCATTTATAGATATATATTACATAATATATACATATGTACACATCACATGTGTATGTGAGTGTACCGCATGCCCACGCATCTACTATTCTCACATGTTTGTGTCAAACCCGTCGGAGTTGCCATTGTCCTTGAGCTCTCCCTTTTTTCTGCCACTTCTTCTCTGAGCTGCCTCTTCTCTAGCTGCCTGTTCGCTAAGTGTCTCTGACCTTCCTCAAACCTGTTCTAAACTCGGGCCTCCTCTGCATTTTTTCTTCTGATCAGCAGGGGTTCTACTGCACTTGCATGTATTTGTTCATATAGAGAGCCAGAGAGAGAGAGAGAGAGAGATTGAGAAATGATTCTGCAACGTGGTGGAACCCAAACGGCTTGCACCCTTTTCCAAATACTCTCAATGGAAAGACCACGATCCACTATGGACGAGCCCAACGGCCGCACGATCCTATGAATGAAGCACATTGTGGAATCGGATTTTTCAGAACGTGAAACCACCAGAAATCAACAAAATTCAACAAAGCAATACCCCGCTCTGAACTCCAACAGGTAAAAGTCGAGCCCGCAGGCAGTCCAATTCCAATGATATTGAGCAAGTAAATGAATGTGAATAATGCATAATGACCCAAGCTGTGGATAGTTAATGATACTGATCGGGGCCGTTGGGGTTGTACAATGTTGTAAACCCTTGTTCATTGAATTACAAGATACTATAACCCACTCAACCTCTGGCCCCTGAACCGACCGCACGACCAAAGAAAGCGGTCTGAGTCAGAACCCAGACAACTAATGGTGCAGCATGGTGCAGCTACGTCACTGGCTGCGCACTGACTACTGATACCATTGACGAAGCACAGAACTGGAAGACCAGTGAGACCTCAGCTGTCCTCTTGCAAATCTCCGACTGAAACCCAGAATGTAAAGGTTGTGTTGCTGCAATTGCTTGAAAAAAAAATGGGTTTGCAATAGATTCGACAGCGAGCGCAATCATGCCTCAACCAATTTGCACACCCAAGACTTGTAGCTTGAAGAGGTGTGCACTAGAATCCTCGTCCACTCCCACATGATCCGTACCAGACCCTACTTGCACGCAGCATCAGAAGCAAACCACTTCACTCATGTTGCACAAGGTCTCAAGAAAAGAGGAAATGTTTGGTTCGCGCAACTTGTGACATAAATATAGATCCTATTACTTCACTCTATTCATAAATATAGATCCATATCTGATATATATATACATACATATCATTATTATATTATATTATATTATATTATATTATATTATATTATATTGTACTATATTATATTATATTATATCATATATTATATTATATTATATTATATTGTATTATATTATATTATATTATATTGTATTGTATTATATTATATTATATTGTATTATATTATATTATATTGTATTGTATTGTATTATATTATATTATATTATATATTATATTATTTTATATTATATTGTATTATACTATATTATACTATATTACATTATATTATATTATACTATATTATATTATACTATATTATATCATATTATGTTATATTATATCATATTATATTATATTATATTGTATTATATTATATTGTATTATATTATATTATATTATATTTTATTATGTATATATATATATTATGTGTATATATATATACACAATATATTATATATAATATATTATGTATATGTATATATTATCATATCCGTCTAAACATAATATATGCATGTAAATATATATATACGTACCAGATGCAAGATGGGATCCAGAACCTCTCGACGCAAGCGAAGAACAAAGCATAGTACAAGCAATCGTTTGCTAGAAAACAAATTCCCCGCATAACAGGCCAAGCTTCCATCGATGTAGTCGTCAATCTGATAAGGCTGGGCTGTTCCCTGGAGCTGCCAGAGCATCTTTTGGAAGCAAATGTTGGGAAGTCTAAGCAGGTCATTCATGGCCATTCATGGCCATTCTTTCCTTTACAGTCCTTTACAATATATTGCAAACAGTTGTTGTGAGTCGGTCAAGGCCATGCAGAAAAGTTGCAGGTAACCAGGCAACCGCTTCATGAGTAGCTGGCAACCAAATGCTTGTCCCAGTACATTTATTTCCTGTTGGGGTTCACTGCGGTTGCTCTGTTTAGTTTTAGCCAGGCTCTGAAAAGCTAAGCGCATCTGCGCGTTCTTCGTTTCTTGAGATAAGTGTGTGTGTGTGTGAAAGCCTTGTGAACCGTACTCTTGTATTATTGTTGCAAAACGCAAAGACCAGAAATCAGGCGGTCACCTGTCTTACACACCAGTCCGCAGCATGCCAAGCGTGTTTTCCGGTCTCTGACACCGGGCATCATTATCACAAATCGAATTGAACGTTACTGAACTTCACTTTACCATTTTTGCGCTTTGGGTGGGTCGAAAGCATCTGACACGGCAAAGTACAGAAGGAAACTGGAGGGGTAGTACCGAGTAAGGAAGTTGATCGGGACGAGGTGAAGAATGCAAACAGGTTACACAACTGAATTTCTTCCCAACATCAAAGTTACACACTTCACATTTGCCATTCAATGCTATTCACATATTTGTCAAATGGTTTCCACAGCAGCGACACAGAGACACTTGGCTGAAACCGGTCCCTCAAACATGAACCATACATCTTATGTACCATACTACTGGGATAAATTTCCATGAAATGCGCTCGACGTTTGACTTCATACAGTTAAACCCCGAAAAGAATGGGTTGGCAAGTTGTTTCTTCAAACATTGACTCAAAAGGGGACTCTATTCGGGTATCCAACTGTAGGCAACCCTGTAGATCAAACATCGAGGAGCAAGAGTGTTGTCATCGGACACATAGGCGGCACATGCGGCCAGACTTCCAGATGTCACAGCCTCCATCACAACAAAATGACATATACATGTGCAACGGAAACATAGTGCTAAAAAATGTTGAGGACTATTGACAATTGTCTATTTTGGATATACTTTGAGAAGGGAAGAAAAACAATTATGTCTGCGAATGTCACCATTTTTTTGTCGCAAGTAATAACCAGAAATGAAAACCAAAGACGATATTTGTTTTTCGCATCTTCATGGACACAGAACAAATGTTTTATGTTGGACGCAATATTGGTGGTGTAAAATGATGCCCATCTTCCCCAGAAAATGCAAACGCTCAAGTACTAGGCTGAAATCGCCAACAACATCAACAAACATGTCAATAAAGCGTAGTACAGTCAACCTTGTCAAATTTGGAAAATTTTTTAGGTCTTGGAAGCTGTCGCATTTCGTGCACACCAGCAGTCAAACATGACGACCCCTGTAATCATCACGGATGTTGCGCAAACACATTGATTTACTTTTTGCATTCTGTCCTGGCATGAACCTCTATTTGCCGCTCAGCAACGAAATCCATGTATTCCTGATTTGCAATGAGTTGCATCCGTTCCACAAAGCATGTCTCGCCCAAACCAGTGCATGTTGCATCACACGACGCACCTGACGCAGTGCACAACCATGCAAAACATGTCATTGTTAAATGCCAAACCTGAAATTACGAAGCAACCAACAAACGTGTCAAATGTCATAGTTCCAACACATGTTTATTTCGTTGCACTTGTGCAATTCCTCCAAACAGACCTGCAAACATAAATCTAAATCATTTTCATGAAACAAGCATTTGCGCGACTTTGTTTGACGTTGAATTCGGTTAAATATCCCTTTTTGTTCATGACAGAATTGTGCTGGGTTCCAGGGCCTTTCGTGCTCAATATCCACGCAGCTTCTGCGGCATTCCATTGGACATGCCTTGGTTGCCAAAGCCTTGCCTTTGGTCAATGTGGAACCATCTGAAAGGCATGAGTCAATTCGTGGCCCCACGGGAACAAAAAAAATCGTGTCAAACGATTCAACGTCCGAACAAGATGTTCAAGGTTCCCTTTTCAACAAATTTGCGCATGGCTGCAGAGGGTGTGCGAGTTCCATATCCAAACCAAAAAATACATTCCACGACCACCAATGATTTGATTGTTTTTTTCTTTGTCATCCACCAATGCCTTGTGTTTTCCAATTTGTTCCAATGCCCACGGGTTCCAAGCAACAATATCGCAAGTATGAGTGGTGCTATCAAACCAGACATACCCACCATGCAGGCGGCATGTCCACAAACGAGGATTTGCAGACCGATCAGTGCCTGATGAACTTAAAACATTCACCCAGTAGCTGACAACGTGGCTAAACGCATGGAGTTTAGCTGATGATTTCTTGCACAAATTGATGTTGGGTCATGGTGATTTTTTTTAAAAGTTGACGTATTTTGGCCCACGGATGTGCAAACATATTGAAATTTGAACCCGTACAATTTGCAATACCATTGGACTTTCGAAGCAACCAATGCAAGGGCAAGGCTACAAAACAACTTGAATGTGCCCTCAAAATTTTGTGCATGTTTTTTTTTAGTTTTGCTGCTCAAATTTTATCCAATATTGAGGACGATGCAAAGCCTGCGGAATTGCAATTTGACCAAAAGAAAACATGGGTTTTCAACGTTCACATGTGTTCGCATTAATTGTGACAATTTGTTTCCAACACAAATAGTTTTGCCATAACAAAGTGCCAACTCAAATGTTAGTTCAATCATTCCCCCCCATCGTGTGCGCAGTGTGAAATGAAGTGCATGTTTTGCTGCCAGCAAAAGTTTTCACTCTATCCCATTCACCTTGTTTCTCCTGCAACATCAATGAACTGCGGTTTTGAGCTAAGGGTTGCCCAGCTTCGTCAAGTTGCACCGATTTCAAAAATAATATTGAGGCGTAAGGCTCTGTGATGGTCATCCCAGAGACTCAGTTAGGTTATGACACATGCGTTCTCCACAGCTGCAAGCAAATTGGGCCGCCTTCTGAGGAAAATAGTATGTCAGAAAGGGTTTGTAAAATTGTCCGCAGTCAAGTGTTTGTGGTTCGAACCATCAGTTTTTACACGAACCAACAACAAAGAAAGTGCAACATGGAGTCCGATTAGCTATGGTTTCTGGAATGATCAGCCATTTTGGTGGCTGTCGCCATTTGGTGGGCCGGTGGTACCAGGCATAGCTGGAAACGAGTTGGCCCCCATACAAGCATAACTGTTTTATGCATAAACGAGTTGTAATTCAACCAGTGCGGACAACTAATGATTTTTGCAAGTGGGCGTCGCCATGCTGCAGCGTGCACTGTTAGTTGGGATGGGTTTGGAAATGTGAACAGAAAGAGACGGCGACGAAAACAAACATCTTATTTGCAACCGCCGTTCATGCTGCTGGCACACACTTCTTTTGACAAAGTGGGAAATTGCGATTCAGCCGTTTTGGCTGTGGGTTACGGCACAGCTCGGGCACGAGCAAGTCAATGAAACCAAAATTTAATTGATCAAGAAGGTTCAACGTCCAATCTTCTGACAGGCCAATGTTGTGATGTAAGGCGGTCAAAGGGGTGGCAGGTGGGTTGACAAAAAGATATCACAAGAGCGGGGGCCCACCCGCCCTTCCCTTAAACCAGAAAAGGCCACATTCACTTGAATTGAAACACAAATTTACTAAGCAAATAAACATTTGTCTTATGTTCACCGCTTCCAGCCAGATCTTATAAAACAACGGAATATGTTTTTCCTCAAAAAATGTGGAAAAAATGTACAACAAAAAAACAACCCCCAAAAAAAAAATCAAACCGAAAAAAAAAAATACCAAAAAAAAAGGCAAAAAAAACATAAAAAACAAAACTTCAAATCTCAATCTGTATTTGGTTGCAAAAGCAAATACTTGACCTCATGCAAACAAATACTCAAATTACCAGCAGCAAGCAAGAAGAACATGGATCAAAAAAATATTCCTTCTATTCTAACAATGATCATGATGTGATTGAAAATAAAAGGGTTTAACTTGGAGCGACCCCCCCACTAACAGTGGAATAATGGTTTGTCTGGCTTTGTATGCTGGCCACAACTGACGGACAGGCAAGCGTCCTTTTTCTGCAAAAGGGGGCCGCAGCTGACTGGCTAGGCTATGGGTCTGGCCTAGGAAGCTTAAGAAGCGCTGGGTTGGGACCAGAGCACTGTTGAAACAGTAGGGTGGGCGCTTCACATCTAAATTTGAAAGGCGGCACCCACCTCAACCCTCCCTTGAGAGAGAAAAAACTTCGGATCATATGTTGTGACCCGGAATGGAATTCCTTAGCCTACCAGCAAGACAATTCGATCACTGAAGTGAGCTGCATCGTCTGGCTTTGTATGCTGGCCACAACTGACGGACAGGCAAGCGTCCTTTTTCTGCAAAAGGGGGCCGAAGCTGACTGGCTACCCCCAATTGATCAGCTGGCCACCTCCAAGTTCTTCAACAAGTTGTCGAACCACAACACTGCAGCAGCAGACTCGTTGGTGGCGTCTGCAAGAAGAGGATGTGGAACATTTCTGGAGGGGAAGTCGCTGATGTTAGCTTCAGTAGGTACTCGAGCGTACCAAGTGCACAAGTTGTTGATTGCCTCACGCTCCAAATGGTATCTCATCAGTGCAGAGGCAACTTTGCTCAAGCATGTACCACGTATCAAAGAAAAACGCACTCCATCATTGTCGCCATAACAGACTTGTAGTCCGTTCACCATCCGATCTGCCCAGAAGTCAAGTGCTAAAACTGCGGCAGCCAACTCCAATTCGTAGATGATTGTTTCTTTGTCATCTGCACCGAATCTTCTGCATTGTGCCTCATCCAAAGGCAAACCAAACCAGCTTATGCATTCACCCAGATCGTTAAAGAGCGCAGCTCCCAGTCCGCCGCAACGCAACTCCGGTTCAAAAGCAGCATCGGTAAAAACAAACCATTGTTTCATCGCCTGTGCAGAGACGATCCTCGGAGCGCAAATGGAAAGCCTTTGCATCATTGCTTGCAATCCAACCTTCAGTTCATCACGCAACTTTGCACTCCTGCCGTAAGCATGCTCTGAAAGCTGTTTCAAAATTAGTAGGCCCAGTCTCCCATGCAAGAAAGAATCCGCAAAGCCCAGTTTGCCTCGCAGGATTAGTGCATCCTGTTTTCCAAGTTCACCAGATTTCAAAGTTGCATGGAGCATCGACAGCAAATCAGCAATGCGCTGTTCTGTATTCTTCACCGCCAAAACACGTTCACCAGAACTGGATAAATCAAATTGTACTCCAAGCGCCTTGCAAACGGTTCCAAAACTTGTAGCCTTTTTTCCATCCATGTCAAACTTCCAACCAGTGAGCATGAAAACCAGCTCCATTGAGTTCTTTGAAGATTCAACGCTATTAGGCAACGACGCCAGGATGTAATCATCATAGAAGTTCGTGGTCAGCAGGAAAAGTTCCCTTGTGCAGGTGGTGTACAACATCCTGGCCAGACGTAGGAAGCTGTACACGCTGTGTGTTGCTCCGAAAGGTAAGGTGCGTAGCTGATACACCTCTGGTCTGTCAAGCTCGCAGTTGTAGATACAGAAGAAGGAGAAGCGCAGGTGTTCTTCATGAATTGGAACCTGTCTGTAAGCGCTTTTTAAGTCGTACGTCTTCGCCACCAAATTGCTGGCCCTCCCAGTGGCTTCGCAACATCTGAAAAACTCACGTACAACTGCAGCAAAAGTATCCACCATATGCAAGTCAACCTTATTCTGTGAGGAGGCTGTATCATTGATACCAGAAATCGTAAAATCATCGATCATACGCACCTTGTCACGCTGTACCAAGGGAAACCTCCTGGATACAACGCAGCCACTGGGAACTTCGGAAAAAGGTCCAATGGCCCATCCTCTCTTGACCCCCTCACGCGTCTCAAACAGCAATTGCTGATCAACTTGAACATTTCCTGAAGACTTGCATGCTGACAGGATGGCCTGATTTCTGGTTGGTGCTTCTTTGAGCAACTGTCCCATGGTCAACATGCAAGGTTTGTAAAGCTCTTGAAACGTGCTGCACTTTGGAATCTCGCCCGCCAACGGAGAACCAACCCTGAGCAAATCAAGGACCTCACCATCTTCATATTGCATTGAGGAAAGGATCTCAGCAGTCAGCAAAATTCTTTTTCCAGCAGTTGCGGCCTTGACATGAGCAGGCCTTGTGTCAGCGTCTCGTTGCTCTAAAGCTTCAAGTTCTTTGGCACGTCTGAGCCATTTGCGACACCAGTGCATCCTGTACTCCACCAGAGTTTGTTCGTCCCAAGTCAAATGTTTTTCCAACGCCAGTTGAAGGTCCTTAGGGACTGAAAAGTTCAGCTTTGAAGGATGCCCTGCTTCAACTGCCTTCCGTATGAACTGTTCGCAATCCCATGGCAGGCCAAAAACAGCCTTGTATGACCAGTTGTCATCACCTGTATTTTGCAAAGACTCCTGATCCACCCCCATTGTTGAGTCTGACGCAAAAGAACCACGCAAAAAGCGTGCATACTTTGGGACCAAAACAGATTCTTGCGTCTCTGTCCGCATCCTTAAGGGTGTTTGGAGCTTTCCCAAGGGACCGCAGGGAATGTCTGAGGCATTCTTTGCAAAGAAAACAGCAGTTTGTTGAAAATCAGGAACAAGTGGAGGAATTCTTTGTCCTCTCGGTTGCACTCCAGCCGCCAGTTGGGCGTGTTTTGCCAGCAGAAGAGGGTGGCCAACTATGTCATGAATGCAGTTAGGTCTTAACTGCACACCGCGGGCTGAAGCAACCTGTAAAATAACTTGTACCAAAGCTATGCAGAGCTTCCGTGGGTACTGTGATTCCTCTGAAGTGGCCCATACTTTTTGGCCTTGTGCATTGGTAGTGAATCCCCATCCAAGGTGCTTGTGTCTGCGACCGCAAACCACGTCCAGCTGAACAATGAATTCTGGAAAGGATGCCACAATCCTTGTCCATTTGTCTCTTGAAGACCCATACATGCATGCCTGAAAGTCAGTTGCAAACAGCGGGTAAATCCGCTGCAGTTCCAACACAAATGGGATGACCCACAAATAGGAGCCACGAGGGTTTTCCATTGTTGCCAGAATCCCTCGTATTACGCAAAACTCAAAAAGCTGACAAGTGTATCTGAATAGTTCATTCGCAATCTCAACTCTTCTTTGGTCAGTCGGGCTCAGGTTGGGTAAGCCCAACGGGTGCTCCAGCGACCGTAGCGGCTGAGGTGCCAATGACAACTCAGGCCTGGGAATTTCCCTGGCACGACTTGCAGTTCCACAAACTG